TTATGTTAATCGTAATGTCGACTATTAAAATAATTTGACATAAATAACATAATAATTAATGCTTTTACATAAAGGATTTATTATTAATTAGTATCATTATTGTTATTAATGATGTCATTGACATTTTACTTTGATTATTATCTCGGAACAAATCTAATATAGGATTATATAAATTATTCATATATACTTATCACGTTTATATATATATATATATATATATATATATATATATATACATATATATATATTTACCGATAGCATCACCATTAACATAGAAAATATATATATATATATATTCTTGTTATTATTATCATTATTATCGTTATTATCACAATCACATGACTCGCTGAACGTGAACGCAATAAGTTTAATATTTTAGCGAATAAATTTCATTCGTGACCGTAGACGGAAATAATTACGAAGGTAGCGGTAAAGTGGATGTGCGATGTTAAAATGGTGGATGAGAAGATCCTTCGAATGTTCTTTCTTCTCTCTCTCTCTCTCTCTCTCTCTCTCTCTCTCTCTCTCTCTCTCTCTCTCTCTCTCTCTCTCTCTCTCTCTCTCTCTCTTTCTCTCTCTCTGTCTTTCTCGAGTATTCTACAGTAAAGGCGTATCATTAGCTGTGGCGTGTTTTATAGACGTGAATTCATGAATGGCCTCCGTTCATTACTTCAACGATTTCTACAGAGAAAGATAGATAGAGAGAGAGAGGCTGCATAATGCGTTGGCGTCTCGTTTTAATGTTCGATTCTTATTATAATCGACAAAATTAAGCTATTACTAACATTGTCAAATGAAAGCAACCTTCAGAAAGAGAATCATATTTTCTAAACGACCATGTTTCATTTAAGAAGCATATACATACACAAGTAAATATTTGTTTGTTATTATGATTTTGTTCTTTTTATTAGATTCAAATAAGGTTAAAAATATTATTAGCCTCTTGTAAATATATCTGAAAATTAAAAAATAAGATCTTAATAAATAGTTTTTAAAAAACTATCGTATCAGCGACCATTCTGAATTTGAGAATCATATTTGTTTGTAATAGAAATTATTAACTAATTCGAAAGAATGTTAACAAATTTATCAACCTTTTGTATAAATTTATAGAGGTACAAATTAGAAGGAAAAGATTTTAATAATTAATTTAAAAAAGAAAGCGATCATATTAACGGCCATGTTGAATTTAAGAACCATATTTGTCTTTAATTATATTTTGTTATATTAAATTTTATTATATTAGAAAAAAAGGTTAAAAAATTGTATTGTATTGTATAAAATCATAGATCTAAGAATTAAGGAAAATGATCCTGATAATTAGTTCTGAATCAGTTTTAAGTCAGTAAATAACTTTGCACACACACACACACTTAGTTAATTATCGACCAAGAATAAAGGACTCTATAACAATCTTAAAAGTGCATTGCAAAATTATGAAGTTTGTGTGTATTTCTCTCCCATTTGGTTTAAAGTGTAGGCTTTTCTCTACATTTAATTTTACAATACGCATGCAATTTACAATTTATACATACACATATACATATATATATATATATGTATGTATATATATATATATTTTATATAGAGTTCATTTCTTCTCCAATAGAATGTGTTTAAAGTAAGCGAAGCTTGCAAGCTTTGAACTGGGTCAAAAGTCGACGCGTGACTACTTGCCAACCTACTTGGGAATGGGTTGTTCGAACTGACTCGTAAATATTCTCATACGTGTACACACGCGTCTTGTCTGTGATAAAAATATAGGTACTTTCTCTCTCTCTCTCTCTCTCTCTCTCTCTCTCTCTCTCTCTCTCTCTCTCTCTCTCTCTCTCTCTCTCTCTCTCTCTCTCTCTCTTTCTTTCTTTTTCTCTCCCTTTTTCTCTCTCTTTTTCTCTGTTTCTTGCTCAAAGTATTTATGTCTGTATTTAGTCTGTAACAATTTTTATCTCTTTGTAACTTAGTTCAATTGTGAGACAATTTCTAAGTTATTACCTTTTTTTAATTAATTATCTCTCTCTTTCTTTTTTTTCTCTCTCTTTCTCTTTCTTTTTCTCTTCCGATGATTCAACGGGGTCGACGATCCGTTAGGAGCTTCGACGAATCACCATACACCGGCGTTGTGTACGATGATAGCGGCTAATTTCCTTTGGAAGGATGAATAATTCATTTCCGTTTGGTCGTATCAACAAGGGATTCTTCGTGAAATCGACTATTCACTTTTATGTAGTTATCTTCGTATCGTTACGAATATAACAGTTTATTGGGAATAAGTACAATATACTGTACAAAGAGAAGATATTGATAATAATTTTATTGATTCTCCTTTTATTTATTTGGATGTTATATTATTTTTAATTGTGGTAAAATTTATTATATACACAAGTATTATGTAACAAGTATACAATGATACGAAAAAAAAGAAATACAAATAAATAATAAAATAATGTAATAATATAATCAATATTAATTAATAAAAAGAATAATATAAGATATTATATTATTTTAAAATATAATATTATTTATAATATATTCATGATATTATAATACATATTACATAATTGATATCAATTTTATCAACAATAATATTATATTATTGTATTATCAACAACATTTTTTTAATTCCAAGTTATATTACTTTTAATTGTAGTAAATTAGTTAATTAATTTAATCGTGATGCTTATAGTATATACGATTATATAGTACTAATATTATGTACGTTGTAAAAATAATTTCTTTTTAGAGAATTCTTTCTCCTTTTTTTTTCGAGATACAAATATGTACTTCATAATAGATTTTGTACTTCAATATATATAGATATTACTTATATACTCATAATAGATATGTACTTCATAATAGATAAAAGAAATATCGTCCGCCATTAAGATTTTTACTTCGGTTCAGAGCGTGGCCCACATTAAAAGTGAGATCAAACTGAGGCCCGAGTTGGTACTTTGCCAGAATAGAATATTGTTTCTTATAAGAATAAAAGAGCATCCCGCATTCTCTCGACACAAGAGAATAGAAAAAAAAAGCAGCGTTAAAAAAGATTCTCCTACTTTTTCATAATAAGGGTGTATATAATAAATATTGTGTACGTAGGCGGATTTTTTTCAAACAAATAATAAATTGTCATTGGTCCTACAAAGACTGGAAGATTTATTAATTAAAACGTTAATTATTTGATATATATATCTTTTTTGTACCATTATTATCAATATAATAGTTGTTTCAAATTCAAATTACTTTGGTCATTTTACTATAAATATGAGATTAAATATCTACCATTTTGTGAGTTAATATCTACTAAATATCTACCAAATGATTCGAAATTATTTTAAAATTCTTATCGTAAAATTTTATCAAATCTATTCATGTTTGCTTAAAATCAACGCATACACACATATACTTATACGCAAATGTATATATTAAAAAAAAAATGTTATAAGATAAATATTTATAAATTGTATCTTATATTCATAATGTATTACACAAACTGTGTAAGATGCATTTAAATTTTGAACATGTAATTGGCAGCATACATTTTTATGGAAAGTTATAGTCAGAGATTCTTTAGAAAGAGGACACATGCAAGTAGAACACGTTTAATAGAAGAAAAAGAACTTCAAAGGGGGATTTTAACAAAATTTCGTAGAATTCTCAAAGCGTTAAATTTGATGTGTTGAATTTCTGTGTGCAATCGACCCATTTTCTAAAAGCGTGTCTCGTAGAACGTTATTCGGAGCTTTGCTCTTTGCAAAATATTTATAGCCTCTTTCCAATACATAAGCAAAAGGAGGTTCGAACTTTTAAATAACGCGCCCTCTTTCTAATCTAATTGTGTACATGTCTGTCCTGCTGCTGTGTGTGTATTCTTGTAAAAAGTATTTACACGTCATAATTGGTGAACCAAATCGTAGGGTTGTGTCGCTACTCGTTCGGAACTGTCTTGAAAAGTCAAGAAAGACAAATAAAGAGAAGCGTCAAGTGGAATGTACAGAATGTTAATCGTTTAATAGGGTATAATCGGTTAATGGGGGACCCTTGCATTCAGTAGAACCCACCATACGTGACGGATGTATAAGACCACCGACTCTAATGCTTCTATATTTATTTTTATCCGACAAAGAAGATTATATCCTCTTTATCTCTCTCTCAAAGACTTTCTTCTTGTATTTATTTTTTTCTTTGTGAAGTACATTTTCTTTTCTTTTTTTTTTTTTTATAGGATGAAATATAAATGCATTTTTATGGTTTCACTTTTTAATTTTTATCCGAAATTTTGTACATACGTAAATACACATACACATATTATGTAAAAATATTTTTAAAATGTAATCGGGCGTTTATTTTTGTTTTATCTTTTATTTATTTATCTTTTTTTTTTAATACCTGCTTATAAATATTTTTTCAGATTGAATTTCTTTTTTGTGTTACTGCTACGTAATTTAATATTGTTGATTTAAAACATATGCATGTAAAATAAAATATAAAATACATGTGTATAAGTATATATATATATAATCTTATAATAACATTTTCATTAATGCGAACAAAAAAACAGACTATAAATAAATAATTTATTCTTCATTCTTCTTTATTCTTCTTTTGCGCGTAACGAACCGATAAACATGTTGCGTGAGTGCGTGTGTGCATTCTGGGTGCGGTTCATCCTAGTCCAACTAATCGATTTTCTTTTCAATGTATTGTCAAATTAAACAGGAACGAAAATATTACGTATACGATAGTAATGTTATCGTTTAAATTTGTTAACAATTAAATTATCAAAATTTTTATTATATATATATATATATAAAATAATGAAACGATTGCGTATGCCGAGTTGCATACTTATACGAAATTCAAAATGGCGCATTCATGAGCCGCCATCTTGGCGAACGTTCAGCCTTCGAATTTCTTAAATAGGGAACAAACTTTTTTCTTCTTTTCCTTCTTCTTGTTCTTCTACTTATCTACGATATACTTTTATGCTTAACTTACAGCCTGGTATGATAAATGGTGGCGACCAGCAGCATGGTGTATGAGGAGATAGTTGGAATAAGGGGCAGCTGACCTCAGCCGCCGCGCACGCTCTTTACGCGCGAGATGCCCCACAATCTGAACTCGGCTTCCGCCAACTCCGCCAACACGGGACCGAATCATCAGGCTTATCCTCACCAGCCTTATCATCGAAATGGGGATGGACTTCAGCCAGAGGTAATCCTTATCTTTCCATCGACATAATTACATGTTTTCTATATTTTTATTTTGATTTTATTTATTTCTTCTAGTAAATATTGTTTATTGTATATAGATAATTATTTTGTAAACGTATAAAAAAATATTAATTAAAAAAGCAAACTAAAAAGCAAACGCCCATGTTTTTTTTTTCTTAATTTATAAAATAAATTAATAAAATAAATATCTAAAATAAATACTAATAATATCTATAAAATAAATATTATATAATTTATTTTATCTATAAAGTAAATATCATATTGCCAAGTAATTATTTTGTGAAGGGATGGAAAAAGCATTGGTTATAAAAAATATATGTATTTTTTTTTTTTTTAAATAATTATTATTATTAATGGTGATTACGTTATAAAGGATTAAATATAATGATTGCTAATTTATAGAAAGAACCGGTTGAATTCGATACGTCGCATCTACGTGGTGCACCTGCCGAAGTGGAGGCATTGGTACACAATATCAAAGACGTTGCACAACAATTTCTTTATCATTGGAAAACATTTCCCATTGTCTTGCCACCTCCACTTTCGACGGGTACGGAAGGCGAGGACACACTCGCACGAAAGAAACATCACTTGAGGGATCTTTTCGTAGCACCAAGTTTCGACGAATTGGATGCAGTTGCAGTTGATAGCAAAGGAGAACCCCGAAGGCTCACTAATAAACAATTAGAAAGCATCAGAGAAAGAGGGTAGGTCATTAGAATATAAGAAGTCTCATTCTTTCTCAAACCACATTTTCTTATTATTATTTTTAATTTATTTATTCTCTCTTTCTTTATTTCTCTCTCTCTTTCTTTCTCTCTCTCTCTCTCCCTTTCTCTCTCTCCCTTTCTCTCTCTCTCTCTCTCTCTCTCTCTCTCTCTCTCTCTCTCTCCCTTTCTCTCTCTCTCTCTCTCTCTCTCTCTCTCTCTCTCTCTCTCTCTCTCTCTCTCTCTCTCTCTCTCTCTCTCTCTCTCTCTCTCTCTCTCTCTCTCTCTCTCTCTCTCTCTCTCTCTCTCTCTCTCTCTCTCACTTACTCACTCACTCACTCATTCCTTTTTTTCAATCAGTAGTTTTATGGGCACCGAACTTAGGTTCAAATTTAGATATAAGATTATTCTTGCTAGTTTATATATTATTAGTGATCTCCGTAAAACGTATTCTCATTGACCGGAAGACAATAGTATTTTCACATTGAACATGAATATTACATTTGTTATTACACAGGTAGCTAACTACAATATGTAAGTATTTTAAAGAACACGAAGTAATGTGTGTAACAATTAGGCACTGTATTATTAATAATGTAGACTTAGCAGTAAGTAAGATATTTATGTGATATTAGAATGCAGTTTTTGTTTGTAGGCATGAAGTGTGAAAATTTACTTTTTTATTCATTTTTTTTCTTTCTTTAAAATTTAATCAATTTTTATTTGATAAATATTTATAATATATACTTGGGGAGGATTTGAAACCTGAGTCTTTTGGATAGCAGTTTTTAACTCTGTCCAACTATTCTAATGACCCATCTTTCTCATATGTACTTACATTGAATATACAAATATTTGCAAGCCAATATATATATATATACATAGAGAGAGAATTTTATTATGATTTTTTAAACGAAAAAAAAAAAAAAATTAAGAATTTTTAATTTATGAAAACTCCTCTCGTGTGTGAAGAGAAATATTAGATGATAGGATTTTTAATTCATTTTAATATTTTCATCTCTCATATACGTTTTAACGTATTTTTGTAAAGCTTGCACAAGGATAAATACGGAAAGCCGAAGAAGCTGAATGCCACTCAGTTGGAGAGCATTCGAAAATGCGGGTATGTCACCCATAAGTGAAAATTAAATACTAAAATGTCTATTGATTAAGTAATAATCGATCTGAAACTGAGACAAAGAGCTTAAGATAATTATATTCACTACAAAACCTGTCGTTTCGTATTTTATATTATTCTCTCTGCCGGTCGATCTATTTATTTTAGAGATATTATTCAATTAATAAACTCTCTTAGATGCTCTACTTGTCAGTTTCAGTGTTTTATCTGTCTATTCTTACAATTTACTCAAACACAAACTTTTCCTTAAGATTTATTCAATTAAAGAAATTTAAAATTTATTTAAAAAAAAAGCACAAATTTTCCCAAAGTTTCAATGATACACTGCTACGTATATACCTTAACTATAGCAATTAATATGTCATTTTTACTTGCACTTCAAGTCACGAAAGTAAAGGTTTCACCTGTTAAAAAAAAAATTGCAATCAAACACATGTAATTGATATAGTATCTAACAAATATCTATTGCATCTCTTTAGCATGTTTTACTCACATTGTACATACATATATTTATATATATATATATGTGTATGTATATATATATATATATATATATATATATATATATATATATAATATATATAATACCTAAAAAATTTCACTGTAAAACATTGCAATGTGGTGTGGGTTTATCTTATATACTTTAGGATTGCTTGTAAAAATAGAAAAGAACATAAAACTTAATCGTTAGTTTCTTCATATTACAATGTCATAGGCAGAATTATATGAGTTAAGTGTATTTAGTTTTGTTTTTCAAATCATAAAAAAAATCATTTCATATATTAATTAGCACAACAGATCTTTATAAAAAGATCGAAAGTTTTTAATTAAACAAAAATAAATCGTCTTAGAAGAGTATTTCTATATTAAAAAAAAGATTTCCGTTTTTGTGTGTTGTAAACATTTAATGATATAGTTAATTGTGTAGAATTTTTTAAATATTTGTCTTCAACTTTTTTTTCTTCTATTTCTTCTTCTATTATAAACGTCAAAAATTATATTTGCACATTTGCACATAGACATATACATATACACAAGTTACGTATCTTAATATCTATATTATGTATTATTATTTATACAGGGAATTTGAAGTGGATTCAATCAATTTTGCTGGCCAGATACATCGATGGCGATTAAGTGCTCTTCTTCAACGTGGAAGAGACAGAAGGCGCGAAGCATTACTCAGAGATCTTGCCTTAGCTACTAGATTTCTTGTAGTAACAGCAAAAGCTAGATTAATATCCCATTGCTTCAGTGTTTCGCAATCTTTTAAAGCATTCTTAACAGGATTTTTACGTCTTCTCGGTAAGACATATATATATATTGATTGATTGATTGATTGATTAATTGATTGATTGATTGATTGATTGATTCATTGATTCATTGATTTATATATTTATTTATTTATTTATTTATTTATTTATTAAATAATAATTATTTATAACTTTTATATATATATTTAAAAAATTATTTATAATTTGTTTAATTATATTTATTATTCCGATTTATTATTGCAATTTTTATAGATATAATAATAGGTGTGCCATCTCTGCAAGCACACAATTTAGATGCCAAAATTAGAGAAGAACGTTGTCGATATTTAGTCGCAGAATTAGTATGCAGAGTAAGTAAAGTTTTTTTCGTTACATATATAATATATATATATATATTGTATCATTAAAATATATCATTCATTATATCTTTTAATATACAGCCGGAGTATGAAGATTCATTGGAACTACTTTGTGGATTTGTGAGGAAGCAACTGCGCCGAGCAACAATGGAAAAATTCGAGGTGGAACGTGAATCATCTCAGTTATTACCTGTTCCAATTCCTTTTGTGTTTGGTACACCTGGTGGAGCTGCAGTTGACCTGAGATTATTTAGCAGAGACATTATCAGAAAGGCTTTACCAATACTAGTCTCGATTTTAGAGAGAGAAACTCGTGGCTGGTTTCTTCATTTTAGGGAAAGACTGATATCAGAATTAAGAGCACAGAAAAAGCCAGACGAGGAAATAGAAAGAGTATGTATAGTTCTATTTATTGTTTTCATATCATCCCTTTCACTAAGAACATTTTTTTTTTCTTTTAGGAAGTTAATGAAGCGGTAATGAGGGAATATTTACAAAGAGTATATACCAACATCTTGTCGCATCCGGATATACTTGGACTCGGTGAAGGTATTGCACAACTTCTAGTTCAACAAGCGCAATCGGTTGTATTGATGCACAGAGCGATTGAAAATGTACAACGAAAGTTGTTGCAAACGAAGGAGTCTTTAAGACGTCGTATTGAACTAGAACATCCGGTTTTATCACGAATACAACCATGGATGCGAGATCGTATGAGAGAAGCTGAAGACAATTTTATAGAGGAATGCGAATGGTGTGCGCACGAAGAAGGTCTTACATTGTGCAGTCATCAAAATTTACAACAAACTTGTTACTTTCTCAATCGTGATTTAGTTTTTATGAAAGAGGTACCAAAACTTAATTTTTTTTTTTTTTTTATACAATTTCAATATAATAATTTTACAATTGGTTTTAGAGAGAACCAGTTTTATTAAAAGAATTACGCAAAGTTAAGACACCAACAAGGAGCTTCCAATGGCCGACACAAATATGGCTTCCAAAAAATTGGATAATAAGACGAAATTTTCAAGGTCAATCTGAAATCATTCCAACAGTATTAAGCAATACACCAACATCCATTACAACACCACGCGCAGATCCAAGTCAACCTGTTTTCTTAGTTGAAAGAGAAATTGTACGTACAACGACAACTAGGTAAGTCTCGAAAAAAAAAGAAAGAAACGTGACATGTTTGTATAGTTAAGAATTATAAAATATGCATTAGATTTCATTAATCCACATTATTACCTTACACGAAGGTGGCCAATGTGGCGTTGGATAAATTACATAGCAAGAACATGGTGTTGGACTTGGAATGCGATGTTTCTCTTGGGAGTAGCAGTTCCATGGTACAGTCCAGTATCTATCCGTGCTTTGTTACTTGTGCAACCTTTTACTCCTGATTTAGAATTAAGCCAAGTTAATGGAACATTATTTCCACGAAAATCTTCACAAATGCCTACTCTCTGTTCTCGATTAGTAGCACTGTGGAGGCATATCAGTAAAAGTCGAACTCATTTTGAAACAGAACCTGATACAGGTAAATATTTTTATTGTATATATTAATCTTTTATAATTTATTGAGAATTATTTTGTAACGATTCTTCCTTCTTTTTCTTCTTTTTTTTTTCTTTTTTTATTGTTACAGGATTTATTGGCAAGGGAATGACAAGACATTTAAATAGGCTATGGAATTATGGTGCCAAAGGCCTTTTAGGAACGCTTGTTATATTATTTGTTTTTCCTGTCGTATGTATACTTGCAAGTTTTGGATCTCTGCTTATTGCACTCACTGCAATTATGTGGTTAGTTAATTCCCATCATTTAATTGTTTTTATTGTACAATTATTTTAAAAATTGTTACAATTGTTTTTTTTTTTTAGGATGCCTTTAATTACTTTAACGTTACATGCTTTCATGGCACTTATAATGGATTTAGATAGTCCAGAACCAAGTCGCAATCGCTATTTAGTTGTAATGGAAGCATTGGTTTGGAATATTGGTATACAAGGATGTTTACAACCAATAGCAGCTTTAATTGTAGCTCTCTTTGTATGCCCTATTATTTCTTTTGTGATACTTACTGGTAAGAAATATACTTTTTTCAAAGAAATAAATGTTAAATGAAAACTTCGATATTTATTTTTAATTTAATGTGTTTTTATAGTTGCTGTAATACGTTATTGCATTAGAGTAGTATGGGATACAGCCATGTTTCATTTGGTAATCAAAAATAGAGGACGAATTCCTGCTAGTGACAGTTTTGTAGTCAAAAGAATAGCAGGACCGGGATTAGCATCGGATTATTATTATCAAGTAAGAAAATAATATCAAAGAGTTAAAAAGAAAATTAATGGACCGTTCAAATAATTTTTATATATTTCTCAGATAAGACCTGAACAAGCATTGGCCGCGTTTGAAGCTAAATTAGAGCTGGATGAATTATTAGCTTTTCAACAAGAAACGGAGAGATTAATAACTCAACCGCAAAGAGATTTTAGCCAGTTCGTAGAAGCTTGCTTTGGCCCTTTTGCAGCTGGTCTTGCAAAAATAAGAGATCCGTACAAGTCGCTTGAGAAAGAAGCTAGAGATCTTATCGCTGTTCTGCATGAAAAATTAGAACGACGAAGGAAAAACTTACAAACTGGACTCGGTGTGGCCGTAAGAAGCAAGATAAAACTTACAACATTTGATTTGAAGGTGCCTTATATTTTGATATTATTATAAAATATTATTATAACACTTGTGACTGATGATTTGACCATTAATAATAATATAGGTAGTTATACAACAAGGTGCACTGATGTTAGAAAGACTTTATCCATTACACGTTTTTGCCCGTCTACCGGGAAACGAAGAGGACTTTTGGGAAAATAAAGGATTGGGTGTTGGTGATTGGGCAGGTTTAGCAGGGCTTATGTACGCCGATATATTTAGTTTGGATTTTCTTCAACCCCTCGATGACTCAGATACAAAATTCAGATTAGAACCACATCCGGGTGTTGATTTGTCACGATACACAGATATGGTTCATAGTACAGAGTTAGGTGGTATTAACGGGCCTGATTTATTGGGTGCAGTGTATGCACCACGTGGAAATATCCAAGTACATAGCCCGTATCTGGAAGTTTCAGCATTTAATCCACGAGCTAAGCAAGCCAGTAATAGCAAGAAATCTGATAAACGATGGTATGATACACTAAAATGTTATAATGATAGCTATATAATACACAATGGAAAGAGAAATGAAGAAAGTATATATATAAAAAAAATTTTCATTTTTTTTTTTTTAGCGACACTAACGGTTTATTAACATCTACTAAAGTAAGAAGGCGTACAGTTTCAGCAAATGGTAGTGTAGATGGACGATGGCAACCATGGAAACGTCAGCTTCGACCATATAGTGCTGAAAAATTAGTAATTCCACTTCCTATTCCACATCCGGCACATATAGCTATTACCATTCATAATCGTGATTCTGAAGATCCAATTCCATTAGATTCAGAGCTCTGTCAAAATATTTTACGAGCTATTGAAGAATCACCGGGTGAAATGGCTACGGAATGTGTAAGCCGTTACAGAGGTGGAGGAGATTCTAGTTTTGATTCCGTTGCATCACAATCTTCTGTCTCTATTGAGACAGGTTTGGATAAAGACAATGATGAAACTCAAGAGACTGCAAATAACGATAAGGAGGGTGAAAATTATCATTGGACTCTTTCAAATTGGGGTGGCGGTGTGACAAGAAGAAGAAATAATTCTGGATCCATTAAAGTTGATTTAGCTTCCCCAGAAGATGTTACTTTGGATACGGACACAACCAGAGTAATGTTTAGTACATATGGAACAACTGTGTAACGTACATCTCTTAATTGTATCAGGTAATGTATTTGCGACTTAAAAACTTTTCATTCTTTAAAAAACTAGGGAGATGTGAATTTTAAATTTATCAATTTTGCCTAATATTTCTGTAGATTATATCAATGACAAGCAAAATAATTAGAATGACTGTTGATCTGCCACCATAACTCTAGAAATCAATTTTATTATGAGTTTTCTTCACATATTCTTATTCTGACTACGAATATAATATATATATATATATATTAAAAAATGATTTATGAGTATGCACGAACAATATACACGATTATGACAACTTCTCAATAAAATTCAATGCATTGATTAATAACATGATAAAAATCAAATAAAAGCAAAGTGTTAGTGACAACTTGATGGTAATGATATATTTAAATTATATAATTATCAATGGTTAGCCTATATAAAACAATATAAACACCAATCAACAATATAAGAATATTTCTGCACCATATTATCTTCTTCAATTTTTTTTCTTCATTACTATTTACTTTTCTGTATATTTATTTCGACAAGTAATTGTTGAAAAATAATTGATAACATTAAAGCTTATATGCTATAATGTATTCTCTATGCCTAATAATACATTCTAAACGTATATAAAAATGTATTATAGCATATTTAATGATTTTATAGAATATCTTTATATAATAGTGTATCTTTATCTTATCTTCAAGTTAAACATTTCTAATAGTCAGCAGAGTGGTAGATATTTAAACCTCATTGCAAAGTCTGGGATGCCATTATAGATTTGTAATAATAACAAACACAAGTAGTGAACAAAATAAAAAAAAAATGTTCACACCGTTCGAATATGTTAAATTGAATTATCAATGAAAATTTAACTTGAAATTATATTTAGAAAAAATAACTCTCTCGTATTTACATATTGTATATAGATAGACAATTGTATAAATGAACTCGTTAACGTACATAGTTCACCATATGTATTTCCTTGTTATTTACTCTATATTAGAATGAATTCTATTAAATATGTGAAAGTGTGCTCTTATGAACATAATATACTTACTTTTAGTAGTTGTTCTATTGATTTTGACATAATCTCACTTTATAAGCCATTCCATTAAACTTGCTTATTCTCAAAAAATATATAAAAGTAATGATTCTATATATATATATATATATATATATATATATATATATATATTCTATATATATATATATATATATATATTTGTATACACTATGTACTTATGAATGGAATTTTTTAAAATGTCAACAATTTATCAACTATTGTCATTTTATCGATAAAATTTTTTATTGATGCCTCTCTTTGATTGAATTTTCGTTTAAAATACATTAAAAAAAAAGTCTATTAAAAATATTGCTAATTATTACAAAATCAACAGGCAAATAAAATAAGTATTCACTTTATTAATATATAACATTACATAAGCTGTGTTTATCGAGCTATTGAAATCACAGTATTTTTAAGTAGATCAAAAAATAAAATAAATCTTGGTTAAAAAGAATAAATAAATAAATAAAATAAAGGACAAAAGAAAAAAGGTGAGCATGAAATAAATAATTACCAGAATGTAAAATTTCTAGATAAATATGCTGCCCATTTGAAAATATAAAGTGTATACAAGTTTGAAATTCTTTGAACAATATGTTATTAATATTTGTAAAAGAATAGACAAATTTTGAATATTAATACATGAAAAAAAATTATATTATACAAACAGAGCCTTAAAATAATTTCTCATCAATTCAGTTTTCTATTATGTTTAATCCAACTTACTCTTGATATTAAAAAGATACAAAAAAAAAGAAAAATACGTTTAGCTAATATAATTTAGATATAAAATTTGATTGTCCTATTCTGAATGTAAGGTCATGAGAGATCTTTAAATATAAATATTAAAAATATGAAATCATTAATAATTACCATATAACTGCCTTTTTGGAAGTCTTATTTGTTACAAAACTACAAATAGTTTTAGATTTTTCATTAAGAAAATTCTACTTATATGAAATAAATAATTCACGAAAAGTATTCCTTAATAATCCATCCAAAACTAAAAAAATTTAATGAATTATTATCACGCGTTGATTTTAGTAATATCAATGTTTATTATCAATGTGCTATAAAATACAAAATGATGCTCGAAGAGATTGCGGTTGCTAGTTTTAATCGAAATAATTTATTATACTTTTTTTTCTGAGATGAATATTTTGTTTTAAACTGTTATTTCGATATCTCTTCATAATTTATTTCAAAATATTTATTTTATCGTAATATATAATTATGCAAATTTCTTTAGAATAATAAATTGATTGAAAAATTGTCCAAATATATTTTATCTTGATCATTTCATTATTTTTATATATACCATTTTGTATGAAAATTAATTTAACGAAACTAGATACTAAGATCTTATTCGGTATCGTAAATATTGATATCTGTACAGTTGCTTAATGTCATTATGCATTCATTCAGATATGTGCTTGATATCAATATAATTTTGAAAGTATTATGTACAAAAAAAGATTTACTAAAATCAGATAGAAAAAAATTGTTTACAATATATTAAAAATAATAGCTCGATGGAATACAGATACTAATATCAATATACATGCAATGATAAAATGCCAATAATTTTTTATTTAACATTGAATAGTCTTTCTGATTAAATTGCATTTAATATAGATGTGTCCAAACACTTTGCACGAATAGAATTTTACTGCATAAGTCCAAATACTCCTTGAATGATATTATAGAATAAATTTCATGTATAAATACATAAATATCAAATTGTGATGCGTGCATAATATTGTATACTCTGTAGAAGTTTTCAAACTGGTAATAGAAATATAACAGAAATGACTTTAGTGCTAAATGTAAGACAACAAATTTATTCTTCAATATCATCTTACCTTTGGTAAGAAGTTAATCAGCTTACAAATTTTATTATCAAATTTATTTGATACTTGCATACACAATTTTTATTTTTCATTTCTTATGACATTAGTATGCAAGTAAGTGCAAAGTAAAACAACCATTACCATTCTGTCGTGCTAATGCAATGCAGAATCCATGAACATATTAATGAAAATAATATAAGCAAGAAAGCTGTAGAAAATGATGATTCAAATGGATTGTACGTACTCAGCAGATTGTAGTGGATTGTAGCAAATTAATCAAACTCCAAATAAGTGAAACAAATATGCATTATTTTCTTATATCTTAAAAAAATGTTGTATCCTAATCTGATAAATCTTTATTATTTTATATATATTTATTTTTAGTTCTTTATATTATATAAATAAAATTATAGAAAAAATGCTTTTACAGTTGAAATGACATTAATAATAAATGATAAAGATGAAGAATGTATATCAATTAATATACAATGAGATTATTTTCTTAATTTCTTCCAAAAACGTATACTTGCATAAGGAAAAAAAAATCCGTATACGTATGTACTCAGTACATACAAAATTAATTCAGATCGTAAGATCGTGACATATATGACATAAGTTATTTATCCAACCATTTAACTGATGGTCTTAATATTGGTATTACAATATAAAATTGTAAAGAAATTATAAAATCATATACGTAAAATATATTTACATTGTGTAAAGTATTATTCCTTTTGTATACATTATTGTTAATTATATTTATAGTTATCATGTTTTTATCTTTTTATTTAAACTATTATAAAGTAATAAAAACACATATAAATATATATTATATGTATATATACATATATACTTTCCAATATACACATTTTAGTTTCATTGTCGTATATATTGTTCTATCTATTCATTTTCATTTATTTACAATTAATACATATTATATGTTTATATAATATTATGTTATATTAGCAATATAAGTAATAAAAAAAGACTTTTATAATAGGACTTGCATAATCATCTTATATGCAAACAATTTCAGCCTTTTATGGTATCATTTGATTGTTCTTCTAAATATTTTCTTGTTACAATACACTTAGTCATATAACAATAACATGGAATTTCGTGTTCAACTTCAGCAGCATCTAACAATATTAATTTTATGTTATATTCTCTTTCTTTTGAGGTGTCCTTTGTTAATTCTAAATTAAATGCCACGGGTTCATTTTTTTCCACTTTTACATCCATAGGTAATACAATTACAGTTTGTTTCCAATGTGTTGATGTATCTAACGGTCCTGTAGATAATTCTGAACCGTCTGGAAATTCAACTGAGAACCAGATACAAATTCCTTGTAATATTCCTTCCTTATTACAAATGGATACATATTCTTCATTTCCCAAAGTATTTATTTCTGATAAAATAATGCTTTGCAAGTCTAACCATGCTATTAATTTACTATCCGCTAAAATATCATCCTGATTTATTGATACTATTTCTGGTTTCGTTGATTTAGTTTCTCGATAGTGTTTTCCTATACATCTAAGAGTAAAAATAAGATAATAGAATTTAATTGAAATAGAATTTATATAAACGAACCAAAATCATTAATATTATAAAAATTATTATTAAAATTATAATTACTTCATACTGACTCCAAAAACGTTGTCCCAAAATTGGAACATTGATGATAATTGACACGGAGAAGCATACAATTTAGCTATCGACGGAAATAAGATTCCTCCTTTGCGTAAGAAATTATCTCTTGCAAATAATAGAGATTCTAACATTCCTTCGTGTACTAAATAAAATCCCATCCATTCTGAGACTATTATATCTGCTTTTTGAATAACATTTGGATCAAGATCTTCAATCTTACTATGGATTACTTTAATTACATTTTCCAAATTATTTTCGACAATTACTTCCTCGGACAATTTAGCCAATTCGCTGGCTTCTACTGCATATACTGTTTTTGCACCAGCCTGAGCACAGAAAATAGACAATATACCTAAAAACACATATCCGTTTAAAAAGATTAAAATTTCATATGATTTTATATATAGAATTTATATTTTACGGTCTTGTAACACCTGTCCCAGCACCAACATCAATAACTATTTTGTCTTTGAATTTGTCTGCATAATTAAGTATAGCATTTTTATATGCTAAAGTTCTGGACGTATCATTAAGCATTAAACGATGCACCTAAAATTAAATTATTATATATAATCATGTAAATGTTATGTATAACCTATCTCTTACATCCAGTTCCTCGTAACTTTTAAAATATTGATCCATGTCGAATTATTACAGTACACAACAATAAAAAAATATTTATCCTATTAAAAATTTGACGAAACTAAAAAAAAATAAAATAGCGAAAAGCTAAGTCAATTTTAGATCAACAACGTAAAAATGTGTAGTTTTTACTTTTAAAAACTCTATCGATAATGCAATGATCTACTGAACCGACATAGTTATATTGAAATATTATTAGTTTGAATTTGTTGCTAAGATTAAGGTTGTTCAACCCTAGTTTTATAATGGTTTACGCCACATACAGGCGTAATACTTTTCCGATTTTTATGAACAGTCTCATTTTTGAGATGAAAATTTAACGATTTAATTGAAAAATTCTATTAAATAGCTATTTAAATGTGCTTTAGCTAGGAAAAAAAAATATAAAGTTTGTACAATTAACAAATATTTTTCAATTAATTTATCTATTTAATCTACTATTTTTACTACATATAAAAATTTGTATATACAACAACAACAACAAAAAATGATATAATCTACAGAAACTTATACACTGTTGAACTAGATGCATAGTGGGGGACAGTATTTGCTTATTACGCTTGTAGTTCACATTTTGTCCACATCTATCGCTGGAGTCACATATGCCATGGCCAGAAGATGGTGAACAGCCATAAGTACTATAATTTCAAAGAAGAAAACAAAGTGAAATAATTAGAATTTGAATTCAATTGTTTATTAAAAATTTAATTGTATTTATTTGTATATATTACGAAATGGATGATGAAGCAGAAACTTATAAATTGTGGCGAATTCGTAAAACAGTGATGCAGTTGTGTCATGATAGAGGTTATCTCGTGACACAGGATGAATTGGATCAGACTTTAGAACAATTTAAAGAACAATTTGGCGATAAACCGAGTGAAAAAAGACCAGCACGTAGCGATCTTATTGTATTAGTTGCACACAATGATGAT